ATGTATATATGAACAAATAAATATTACAGTTGGTTGAATAATGGAAGGGGAGAGCAATTGCCAAAAAAGTTCTAAATTATTTCAGTTCCGCAGGAATGTATGAAGTTGTTCATGATAAAATTTGGCTTTCTTTTCTTTAGATATATTTTTATTTAGCATATTGCTGAAAGAAGCAAATTGATATCAATTTCTTTAAAAAAATGAATGAAAATGAAAGTAATTCATTATGTACTTAAGCCCCCCCTCCATTCACATTTAAGAACAGGTGGTTTTTTAATGATAAACCTTTATGAAAAATGTCTGCCAGCTCTAATAATAATAATCACCGTGCTTGCTTAAAAGGTAATATAGAAAGGTATATAGAAAATTATACAGTAAATATATATTGGCACTACCAATGGCAGCACTGCTCTTTGCTTAGTCTCCTAAATTGTTGCAAAACTGCTAAGAAAGCCATAATATTGAGGCGATATTTGGATTACCTAAATTCTTGCTTTACATATTTAAGGTATTCAATACTGTTGATCCCATCAGTGGGTACTATATATCTATAATCATCACATTCAGAAGGTTAACAGTAAAGTCTCTGCATGGGTAGCTGCTTTAAGGTGTTTAGCCAGAACAACATGGGGTGCCAACTTCAAAGGGCTCAGATCCACTGCGCTTGTGGTAGTATATGCCCCAGCAGAATATTGTGCTTCAGTATGGTCCAGAAGTTGTCACATTAAAGAGCTCAACACTATTCTTAACAGTGCACTGAGAACTGTAATAGGCTGTACAGCTTACATGCACACAGATGTACTCCCTGTACTCTCAGGCATTATTATTAGACCAAGTGATATAAGAAGACAGACCCTAACATCATTACTGGCAATAGAGGCAAGAGATGATGAAAATCACGTGTTCCATCTCCTGTTAACTGAAGACCCAAATAGATGGAGGCTTAAGAAGCTTAAAAGTTGTAAATCATATATACATTTATGCAGAAGCTCCTCAAAGAGATTGGAGATGCTCAACCAAACCCAATGGGCAGCAACAGAGTGGATCGACTGCTGGGAAAGGTCAGATTTATTCCTACAGCGTATTATACCAACACCAAATGAGCCCCACATTGGGTACAACCTTGACAGAGAAGTGTGAGTCAAGCTGAACAGACTGAGATCTGGATATGGATGCTTCAAAATTACACATCACACGATGGCCATCTTGGACAGCATCTTGTGTGAATGCGGTGTCCAACAAACAGCACAGCACTTCATCAAAAGCTGCAATCTTTGCAAATGCCCAGATGGGGCAGATAGGGGCACACTGGGTGCATCTACATGTGCCCCCCAATGGCGCAGTTGTTATTGTGCCATCATTTAGTTCTTGCTTTAGGAAGTACTAAATGATGCGGAAGTAACAGCCATTACTGCGCCGTCCTGGCCAGTGCATGATTATTTTTAGCAGCTATGTCACCATAGCATCACATTATCATAAGGCAGCTTGTTGCTATTGTGGTGTATCATCAGCAACACAGTTTGTGCCCTCCAACACTGTGTCACTATAGTGATACGCTAGGGCAACATAGCACGTCACTACGGTAACGTAGTGTCTCGTGTAAATGTGCCCACATGAGAGGTTTACTGCGCAGGTGACTAAATAGTTGCACAGTAAACATCTTGTGTCTATACCAGGGGCAGGCAAAAAACAGCCCGTGGGCTGGATCCATCCCACCAGACAACTCCATCCAGCCCACGGATGCTCATCAGTTAATTGTAACCGAATCAGCCCATGTGCCACACTCCCATCCTGGTGCACAGAAGGGCCCGGCTCAGCCAGCATGCAGCTTCCAAGCAGTTCTGCTGCTGCCACTTCTGGTTGGGGCACTTGTGGCACTGCCAACTGGTGGCATGCAGCTCCACCCAGAGCGGCACAAGGTGGAGCTGTGCAAGGAGTACAGCCTTCCCAGCCCTCCCAGCCCACCCTTACTGTACGGGGGTCCCCGCAGCACACATGCAGCTCCTGGCAGTCATGCACCACTGGGGGAAGCCCCGTGTGATGCAGCTGGCTGCCTTCACCGCTACATGCAGACCCAGGACTCTGCCAGAAGTGGTGGGGAGCCCTGCTCCTTTCTTCCATGGTGGCAGCCAGCTACAGCATGAGGGGCTTCCCCCAGTGGTGCATGACTGCCAGGAGCTGCATGTGTGCTGCGGGTGCGAGAGTGCCAGGAGCTACATGTGCACAGCAAACCATGTGACAAGGAAAGTCCATGTGACTGGACTGAGCAGCAGTACCATGAGTGCCCTGAGGGCCCCTATCTGCTGCTGCTACCACTGGCAGAAGGAGCTATGTGCCATGGAGGAGGGAGAGAGGCT